TCGTATCGAGAGGGACACATGACAATAGCCCTTTCAAGCAGATCAACACTCACTGTTCCCAAGCTGTTCATATTTACTGTTAAAGATTTGTACCTTTCAACAGCGGACACTTTCAGGAAGAGAACAGTTTAGTTCGGCTTTAATGGCACGCACTTTCTGGGAATAGCAGTGTGTTTAGTAGCTCCAGCCGAAGGAATAAATATCATTGTTACAACGAGAACAAAATGTATATTGAAGCCAGATGGTTCAATGGTTAAAAGGCGAATTTACTGACCGGAACGTCCGTGGTTCGAATCCGACCTCGGCATCTTGACTTGGGCAGCCTGACACTATCCGACCCTCGTGCTTACTTCAGGTGGCATGGCAGTCAGGCACCGAAAGAGCGCTACATTGAAACTTGTAATTAGCGTGGTTGAATTTAATGTTTGCTTGATACATTTGTGCAAAGCAAAAATTATTAGAATTTGATGTCTATTGAACACCCTGATAAGAGTGCCATTCAGATCGTGCCAGTAAATCACACTGCTGGTCGTCCGCTCGTGGTCGAACGGTTCAGTCTTCAGCAACTTTTCAGGAGGTCCCGGGTTCGAATCTCACTCATGTTTCCTGAGTGGAATGCCACTAATCTATCCCAATAAGGATGAAACATCTGTACAGTACTTCCCAGCTTCAACCGGGACGGGATCATGATTTGGATGGTGAATCAATACAAATGGACCAAGACGGTACAGCCAGGTGTTAGGAGAATCAGCTAGAACATAACTACAGTCAAAAACACTTGAAGTCCAAAAAGTTCTCTGGCATCGATGAAGAAAGAAGCAATAGCGAACATCTAATGTGTGTGTGAGAGAGTGAACGGAGTAATTCATGCACGAAATCCGTAATTTTCAGTTCATCGGCGATGCCACACAATGCGAATGTTGACCTACATTCCTGGACAGACGTGGTCCAGTTTAACTCCTCTACAGCCAGAAGTCTACTTTGAAATGGGACGATTTTTGGCCAGACTTCAGAAGCATTTAAGAGAGGTAAGTCGCCTCAAAGCATGGCGTCTTGGCATTAAAATTTTCGCATGATATACTTTTATCCATCTTTTCACATGTTTACCGAAAAGGAAATATAAGAAAAGTGCGGAAAAGAATCTAGCCTTAAATTCGTCCACTGTCGTAATGAGGTCTTTCACGAGGTCAAGATTTTCCCTCGCATGTACTCGCTACTCACACGCTACTAGTAGTGTGGAAATCTTTTCAATTCAGCAGCGATCCGATAGACTGGCTCATGAGTATTTTTTCTGGTAGAATGAGAAACGCCGAGGATTTTCAGTAGATACTTTTTATCTCGTCCTGACTTTGAGCAGATAAATCACTTCTAAAAAGTCGCGAAGTACACACCTATACCCCAGATATATCATCAGATATATACGTCACCCAGCACAACAATTTATATGCTCTACATAATGGAAAAGATTTCTGTCCTATAAATTAGACCACTGCCGAAGCCATCCATCAGATGGCTCATTGATTTTCTGCCCTAAAGAAGGCAAAGATAATTGTGACCAGGGAACATGCTTCGCTAGGAACTGGGAAACCCGTCATTGAGTATAGAGCGTTCGTCTCTGGAACGCACAGTCATTGTCAGTCTATTTCAACAGATTATGATTGTTGGAGCATCTGTGTGGTATTAGGGACGACATATGCATTGGAGAGCAAGCGAATAACACAGGCAATTACCACTGAGAAAGAAAGACAAGAAACAGAGTTGTACAGACCAGAGAAACTTTCCATGCCGTCGATACTTTCTAGGGATCTGTTTCACCGAACGACGACTTTCAATAACTCAATGGATTCAGGTGTGAAAAAAGATGAATAGGCAATATATTTCGTCCAAAGATTTGTTTAGCTGAAGGCTTCTTTTTGGGGGGAGATTTCTGTGTCGTTGAGAGCATTTCAAAAGAGTAGAATTGCCCAGTGTAAGTGATTAGTAAATCATGTACTATTTTAAGATAGAGTAGAGTTTTCAACACCGATTGTAGTAAGCTTTCCGATTCCTAGATGCATTCAGTGGTTACAGCTAAATCCCGAATAAACAGGACCGGTTCTCAGACGGTGGAATTAGGAGTGCGACCATAAGAGATTGATGACGTGAAAAGCGGTGTATTTGAATCCCTCAAATTGATATGTTACGGCGGATACTACTAATGAGACATGCGAGTAGTGTTTTCTAGTAAATCCGCTTCCTGTCTCTTAAAAAGTGGCATCTATTACGGAATTTGTGAAGTCGCTTTGTAGCATTTGCTTGCATTTGAGTATGAGTCAGTGAATATCCAGGAAAGTACAGGAAGACGCGTCAAAAGAGAAGATGGATATTCACTTCTGTAAACAAGATGCATATGAGAGTTTTGCTCCCCTGTCCAATAGTCTGCAACTGTGTTTCTCTAATAAACAACTCCGCAGAGGGGGCCTTCTACTTTCAGTAGTAGACCTTCCCACTCCTAGACGCATTCAGTGGTTACAGCTAAACCCGAATAAACAGGACCGGTTCTTAGACGGTGGGATTAGGAGTGCGACAGTACGAGAATGATGACATGAAAAGTGGTGTATATGAACTCTTCAAATGGAGATGACGCAGTTCGTACTCGCTTAAGATATTGGGGTTGAAGTCGCACTAGGTGACGCGGACGTTCAAGGGCTACATTAATTAAGTGACGAACTACATTTCAGCGGTGAGTCAGGACATTGTTTGCTTCGATGAATTGCTTTTCAACAAAAAATAACGAAGCTTCAAATACTGCCTACTTACAACGTTGATCTTTTCAAAGCATTATTCAACTTGGAACAAACCAGTGAAAGAACATCTTTGGACACTGTCAAACGCCCCTCAGGCATTGCAGTACTTGAATACAATCGAAGACGATCAGAAACGCCAGTTGAGTCAGCGGGTTCTGAATCATTTCCTTAGCCATTATGGGGAACGATTGCCTGTGACATCGTGGACACCTGGGATACAGGATGCAGAATTTCCTATAAGTGAGTAGTATCTCCTTGGCCGTATTTAAAAACTTCAGGAAGTGTTCTGATAAAAAATTTATGAATACATTCAGCTAAAATTGAGCCATACGGCGCTTCCATCTTGGATAGTTGTCCCGTAAATTAGGCTAATCCAGATTGACAAGTCGAGTAGCCGTTTAAGTTCTTGGTGGAAACCACCAGCATTATCATCCTCATCATCATCACCATCGTTAGAACCATTGTTGACAACAGTGCACCAGTAACCCATACTGGCACTTAGCTGTCGCTCGACAGCGAGGAGGGAAATTTTTCGTGACGAATAGAAGGGAACCTGGTACGAAGAAGTCCTACGTCCTTAAGGAGAATCATCAAGACAGAGATATCTGCACTGAAATAGACATATCCCTTCGGGTTAAGATACCTTAACAGGATCAATAAAGCGTCCTTTGAGAACATCACCTGACCCAAGTTCAAGACACAATGACGCGAGAGATTTAGCTGGGCAGTTCGGCTTGTAAAGAATAGCCCGCGCGCCACTGTGGTCGGTTGCGTGCCTTGTCATGTACAGAGTTTTCAACCAACTACAAGCTGGGTGACGTGGGCCCGAGCCAGGAAGGCGCAAGATCCCACAGAATCCATATAGCAGTCTATCCCTCGCGGACCTTTTGCTACCCTAGTTAGTCACACGATGCACATACCCCAACCACGTCAGACTGCTAAGATTAGCCTGTCAACCTAACTGGTCGGATTCGCTACAAAGTACTCGTCTCCGCACCTTTTCTTTGTGGATTCACTGCAGTCAGCTTACTCTCGCTATGCTATGGAGACACAGGTGATCACACACTTGAAGGAGCTTTGGGTCCTTGGATCGGTGGGTTATAATCTCGCAGCCACACAGTAAGATCACTCGTATAGTTACTTTGTACCCTTTAGCTTTAGCGAAATTCATTCCCGACAGAAAAAATCCACAAGATGGTAAACACTGCCTGTAACTCGATTGGTTGCTCGCTTTCCTTCACTTACTTTAGCATAGTCAAGGTTTATATAACTTCCTAGATATTTGAACCGGCCAACAAATTCAGGTTCTTCCTTATGAGGTCACAGAGAGGCACTAGTCGACGGGCAATCTTGACGTAGGACCATTTTTGATGTTTTTTCAGACTACTTCCTGGGTAGAAGTAAACACAAACTAGCAAAACGATGCTGTCCGCATAATCCATTGATCTCTCTCCGGAAACGGTTTACATAGTTAGGCAAACCGAACCCAGTCAAGACACACAGACACGTACGCGCGCAGGGAGCAGGACGTCAACCTCTCCACAAGTCCACGGACAACCATGGAGTACGTGTAGCAGTCTAACTTCGGAGGAAAACACCTTTCCGCCGTCCGAACTTCGACCAAGGGACTCTCATATACGGTTCCTTCCCTTTTTGACTTGCTCCCATTTCACATTATGCACTAATAGATTCATGGTCCCCGGGTGTGGACACTCCGCGATAATTTCGATGACAAAATCGAACAAAAACGACATAGTGGATAACCCTGACAAACTCCACTGGTCTACAGGACAGGTTTTGGACAGTGCACCGTGCAACCTGACTGGAGATGTGAGAATACCGGGCAGCTCCTCCGGCTAAGAAATTTCCAGAGAACAAATCTATCCACAGAGTTGACAGTCACTAGCAACCATTGATGAATGACATAGAAAATACCCTGTACATATGATGCACTATCTGGAGCGTAAGATCCTCCTTATTCTTAGTCCCGGCATTTGAGTTAAAACCCGGCATTAGGCCCACTTCATTTTAGATCTGAGCCACCGTGTGGACATCGGTCTAGGCTTCTCTGAAGAACAACAGGTGCCTTTTTCTTCGACTTCTTTTCTTGGAGAGAGTGCTAGTACTTTTAGCCACTGCGATCTTTTAAAATATTCAAGACAGGACTCCGATGGTTCCTCTGGCTTTACTGAATGATGTGAACTCGAAGTTGCACCTCATCCATCTTGAGGATATGATCCTTTAGGGAAGAGAAACTTATTGAAGTGGTCACACGCGGGCTGGTCCTTATTACTGTTGGCTTGTCTGCCCTTTTACAAAGCCACTTTGCCTTGCTGCTTGTACGCCATAGCCTTTTCCTTCCACGCCCTTGCAGGCTTAATTCACGGGGATCCAAACGATCTGAATATCATCATGAGAGCGATTCCAAGGATAGACTCTACGGAACAAGAATTCGAGTTTGGCATTCTGGACTGGGAAGACTGCAGTGTTTCCCGACGCATCTATGACCTTGCCCTTATGCTCATGTACGCAATGTGTACCGAGGGTCCGTGCTCCGCGGCCCGATTCGCTGAGCTTGGTGCTGCAATCATACGTGGATTCAATACCGAGGCCCGAGACTACGGAATGCCCATTACCGATGCGGAAACGCAAGCCTTACCAGCGCTGGTTGCGGTTCGTTTTGCTCAATCCCTAATCATGGGCCACTATACGGCATTTGTATCTAATCCAGGCGATCAGTATACCCTGACAACCGCCAAACAAGGTGGCTGGGAGAAATTGCAATCTTTGTGGATTGATGACAAGGAAATCTACAGCACAGAGTGGAAAAAAGCAACTTGTTGATGCGCTGCTATTAACTTTCTTCATAAATTCAACTCGTTTTTGAGAGATGAATCCCCGAAATATAGTAATCTAACGTGTTAATTTTTGTCAACCAAAAAGCATTTTGTCACAGGGTAGTGGGCCACTGCAAGCAAAGATGTGGCATTTAGATGAAGCTATGCCGGATTTGGTTAAATACTGACTGAATTCGATGTGATGTTCTTGTACAGCAGAAAAGTGCGTTTGTTACCGGGTTCATGTAACAAACCGCAGCGTATTGAGCGGCCACGGTATTTGGGAATTTCACATGCTTTTCTAGCTACTAGAACGAAGAAAAGTAGTATATCATAGCCTCGCATATTTGTCACCTCGAACCATTGCAGGTGGAGGCAGCAGGTTTGTGAGTCAATACTTAATGGGCATAAAATAATCTTCGTGCAAGCAGTTTACAAAGCGAGGAGGGTTTTCCATTGTAAGCCACATAAAATTCTAAATAGAGATTTCGTTCTGTAATTGGCGCCGATCTATGCGGCCGAGCCGAGAAGCACGGCAGTTCCATCCATGTTGGGAATCATTGGAAGATCGTATCTCACGAAACTCCAGAGGGTCATGAACGCGTAACCTCCTGACCACTAGTTTAGACACTTAATCAATCGGCCTTGATAAACTAACCATCGGTGTGATTAGCTCTCACTTGGGCAAAATGTAGTTCGTCTCATCCTTCAATCACGTGGTCACGTGTTACCTGGCTCTTCGAATGACGACTTCTCAAAAGGAGGGTTCACACGTCTTGCGAACTAAGTTTTCCTCTGGGCTACCTTGGGCTACCTACCCAAAGGATCGAACAAACACTGATTGAAGCGAGTGTTCTACGTAACCCGTTTTTCGAGTCACTAGCATCGTCTTCTTCATTTTTCGTGCGAAGTACTTTGACCAGTGGTTTGTTGGAAAACGGTCCAGGTTGTATGTGTCCAGTTGTACTCTGGGGGCGTGACTCTTGGTACAAATACCTGAACCAGGTATAGGTTGTATGTGTCCAGTTGTACTCTGGGGGTATGCTCTCTGCTACCGAGGTGTTGGTAGCATTGCCGATCCCAAGAGCGGGGGAACGTTAGATGTAATTGATTCGCCAGCTGCGTGCTCCGATGGTTGCCTGGAGCTGACTGTGGTGAGCAAGAGGGGCACAGTTCATTTGGCCACTGATCAGGTAGAATTTGATCTATTCGCCTGACTTGGCAATGCTTCATCACCCTGCGAGGACACATTGTCAGCGCGTGGCTGTGTAGACGATTTTTCCATTCTGCTTGAGTTTATATAGTTTCTAAACAGTGGTCTTATCCGCAACATGACTGGTTTTTTAAGGATTGCCCGGGACTTGGTATGATTGGTCCTTCCGAGAATTGTGTTGCTTTATGGTCTGACTATCTTACATCTGTTTGGTTCTCTGAGTAGCTACATTTCAGCAGTGCTGTTCCTTTATTCTGATTGGTTCATCCAGGCTCTAATGCACAGCAGACAGAATAAAGCAGAATGAGGCTTGGTGGTGTTACCGCAATAACAACGTCATGACAAAATCTGTTGTAACAGGTGACCTAACGAAATTGCCACTGCTCTCACAGTTTACTTTTATGATTAGGCAACCGAGACATTCATGTCTTCTAGTTAACAGTGCTTTACTCAAACCTTCTGGTTTCTCTCGAGCATCGGAATCTTGACGGTACTGAAGATTCTTGTAATACACTACTCATAAGCCTGCTGAAAATCCTCAACAGCACACGACCAGTTTCGCCCAAATTGAGGCACATCAGGTAGGCGCAGTCCCCGAGTTTCCGTCAACCTTATGTTCTACTTGAAACCAAACTGCACGAAATTAGCAAATGTACACTGATTTGCAAACTAATTTGGTTTTTCGAGAGACTCACCTGGAACCCGGTTGAATCTCTCGTTTGAGATGTTTCCTTTTGATGTTCCAATCACATTGAGAATGGGACTTTCACTATGGTGAACCATTTCTACAAGGAGTATGGATTTCGCGAGGTGGTTTTTAATGTTATCCGTTTTTTGTGGAGGGGAATTACTTCAACACCATAAAGGAAAATAAATAGATGCTCCCCTCCCAACGTCACACATGTCGTTCAAACGCGAACAAGTTTGCCCGTTCAACGGATGGTCGGGTACTATCACCTCGCATGCCAGACTAAAACTGGAGTCTAATCATGAAGTGAAGAACTGGAAAAAACAGACTCCGGATTGGGTCGAACTCATGTTAGTCGTTACAATTACTCTTCCACACTTTTTAAGGAAAACTCTTATCAGATACCCGACAATGATTTAACCTGCCAGTGATAAGGAGGCGAGATGGCTCAGGTGGTTAGAGTGCGAATCTACTAAATGGAAGGTCCGTGGTCCGAACCCGACCTGTGCTCTCGACTTCCCCTGTCTAGGCTTGGGCAACCTGGCAGTATCCCAGCCCTCGTGCTTCCTCATGGCGGCTAGGCACCGGAAGGGTGCTACAGCTGAACGCTTTCCTTCTTTCTGCTAGTGATAAGAAATCCCCCCTACCATAAAATTCCACCGACATCGTAGCCTGGTCACGTGGCCTGAGGGATCTTTCAAAATGAGAGAAACGCATCATCCAACATGACTGTCGAGTGCCCATTTAGTTCATTTGGGGGAGCGGTAAATACCGGTACCCCCAAATGACCCAAAATTTGCTTTATCTAGTTTGCTTGCATCAAAATTTCATGATTTGGTCATACACGATTACACAAAACTCTGTGCGAACTTTTGTCCGACAAACATAGTTGCTGCGGGATACCGCGCCGTAACCATGACTCTTGCGAGTACCGTCATCATCACGTAACGTAACTGTTGGCTGGAACTGTGAGTCCCAAATCGTTCTATCCAACTAAATGCACGCTGTTTGTGTGTACCCAAAAGGTTTTCACAACAGATAAACAGTTTTGGAACTTGAAACCTGCTTGCTTCTCAGGAGGGACCCACTTTCAAGAGGCTCACTCTCATGGCAAACTAATTCACAGAACCAGCAGAAAAGCCTTCCTCTTCTGAATCCAATGACTTTGGTTGCAGTCATTGTGACGTAGTCCTTAGTCTTTTGTTCGTAGTTTTCCCAATCTTCGTGGTACCGTTGTATCCGGCAAATTGTGAGAGTCAGTCTCTCTATGATTTGGACTCTCCCAATAGCTGCTGACGACGAACCTAGTTGATAACAAATAATTCCAGACACTGAACTGCGTAGTATTAAGTGCACGTTCCATAGGGTCATACATTGTACTTTAGCTCTAGGACGGCCAGAAGATTCCTTCATATTCAGAGAAAGAATAAATTCACCCGATGAGTAAGACTTCCATCCGAGAAGTAGTCACTCGAGGAGCCAGCCAAGACGTGTGACGACGTGATATGGATCCCGTGATTGAATGGTGACCGGTGCTATGTCCTATCTAAATGCGACCTAATCACACCGCTGATCAGCTGCTCCTGGCCGGAGGTTTGAGTGTTCAAACATCTAGCCGAGAGGTTGAAGGGTTCGAGATTCTGGAGCTCCGTTGATTCGTTTTGATGATTCCAAATGAGGATGAAACAGCTGTACCGTGCTTCTCGGCTCTTCCGTATAGAATGGCTCCGCTCACCGAATAAAGTCTCAACTGGGAATTCCCCAAGAAGTTGATTTAACAACGCATCTTGCACATTCGTGAAGAGGGTGGAGCAGTAGGGTGATTGAAACTTGAACGCCATGATCTCTGACACTAGGGTATTCGAAAGTTTGTCAGTCTGTGCTGATTAGCTCAGAGGCACAATGCTTCTTCGTCCTTGTCGGGAATCATCAGCGTTGCGTACCTCATGAATCTTTTGGGAGATTTGAACCCACGGTCTCCCAATTTAGCAGCTAGGCTCTATACCAGTCGACCAGGGGAGGGGGCCAGTCAGCATCACAATTGACTCGCACTTAGACAGGATACAGCGCCACCATCCTTCAGGTCACGTGATCTGGAATCGCCAGGCTCCTCAATTAACGTTATAAACATGGCAGTCTCTAATTTGAAAACTAGTAAGTTTGAGCTGGAGTAATTTGACTACCAACAAAAACATATCCCTAACCGGCTCAACTCACTTGGTGACTGAGAGACTTGCAGATCAGGATGTTAGACGAACTTCCAGAATCGCCTTCTAGAGTCTCTTCCAAATGCCCACCATCGGATGTGAACTCACACCTGAACGTGATCTCCACCTCTCTACATAGTGCTGGGAATTTTGACTGTGGAACGGCACCAACAGGTACACTCAAGCACTGGATATCAAACCGAACGGTGGTACTGCTTAAATCTAGGGGAAATTCCCCAGCCGGTCCCGAAGAGTTATCAGACGTCAAGTGAAAGTGAGCTTGCGATCCGACCATGAAGTATGGTGGATACAGAAAGCCAACGAAATGTAAGAGGTCCAGAAAGCCGGTGATTCCCAAAGATTATTTTAGTCGATCCGTGATCGGTTCCCGGAAGCCACCTGTGAGCTATCAAGGATCGGAATGGTGTGACCATCTTTAATTGGGGAGAACGCCTCGACCGATGTACCAAATATCATGGCCACTAGTCGGCACCCATCTTGTTCCCACAGGTGACGTAAAACCCTGGACGGTGAACGTGGAACCGTCCACAGCCTCAGACGTGTCTATGTTCTCTCAATCTGGTCCGGTTGACATCCTACCCGCATTGTTCAAAGATGGGGATGAAGTCCTCAGTCAGCGCTTGTCTGATCTGTTTGCGTGAATTTGGGATAAAAGAGACCATTCCAGACAAGTGAACAGAATCGGTCATAGTGCCCATTTTCAAAGAGGGGATCGTAGTGAATGTGGTAACCAGAGGGGGATCAGCTTGACCCCGGTTGTAACGAGACTGTTGGCGTCAATTTTGCTTCGCGGCCTTACGATGGCTCGCGAGATACTGACTCGAGAGCAGCAAGCGGGATTCCGGCCTGGTAGGGGTTGTGTTGACCAAATCTTCACACTGCGTCAGGTGCTAGAACAACGCCATACGTATAAGCGACCCACGATTCTAGTATTCCTGGATTTCCGAGGCGCATTCGACTCGTTTGATCGATCTGTTCTTCTTGAGACGCTTGCCCGCCAAGGAATGTCACAGAAGTTTATATTTCCAGAGTATACAGTGAGCTCCCCAAATGCCTCCATACACAAAGCGGTGTTTGTCTCTCCATTTCTATTTAATTTCGCGATTGATGACATCATGATCCTAACGCTGGAGGGTCTCCAAAACCCCGGTATTCAAATAGCCTGTGAGAAAAACCTCGTTGAACTGGAATGTGCAGACGACATCGTTCTCATGTTCGAAGAAGAGGA